TCACTTCAGCTCATCATTCTCCCCTTGCCTCCTTTGCCTCCACCACCCTCCCCCCCCTTCCCTTGAAGGCAGCCCTGATGGTGCACGCGCACTGGAGGCATCCGAGGTTGACAGGCACTCGTCAACTGTCAGACGTCTACACATGTGGTGTTGGCGTGGAAGGAAGGCAAGTGTGTATGCCATAATACCGACCGCAGACTTGGAAGCGTGGCTCCCTTCCAAGCTCAGGCGAAATCGTCTCGTCAACAATGCAAAACAACCGGCAAACCACCATCATCACCACCACGTCGCTGCTGACACAAGATGGTTTTGCCATTACCAAATCCGTCTTGACACCGATGTCAAGAACCAACGCATAAGAGGTGAGTGGTGGTGAGAAAGTGGCGCCAGGGCATATCGTGGATTTGCGAAGTTGTCCGTTAACACTTTCCTTCCGTTTGAGTGGAGTGGGGTGTGGAAATTTGGAATGCGAAGAAACGCAAAATTGATGAGCTTCGCAATTATCTATTTACGTCTGACGCCTAAGGGCAGCATCTGCTCGGTAGGTCGCGATATCTTCCTCCTTACCAATAAAAATGGCAACAGTTGAGTGTCGAGTACGGTAGTTTGACCTGCAAATTTGGAGTCACACTATAGGCATGGCATGGGACATTGTGAGTGGGGCAATACATGGCAACAGCGCGAAGTAGGCGTAAGTTACGGGGATAGTGAATAATGAGTGAAGCACAGCCCAAATTAAAAAGCGCAAACACTGTTGGCAGGATTGCAACAGATGCGAGGCACTGTTTCTTTCCCTTCTGACAAACGAATAAGCATGGCGTTGTCAAATTCTTGCTATATTCGGGATAAGTGAGTGCAAAGGCAAGCTACAGCTTCTTACAAAATAAGCTAAGAAAGTTACTTTTCTCGAGAGTGAAGGGTTTCCAGGAGGTCTTCCCCTTGTGACACCACGAGCACAGGCACTCCACCAGTATGCCTCGATAGCGCCTGCTCTGACACACGTAGATGAAGAAGTTGGAGGTAGAGTTGATAATGGAGAGGAGGTTTGTAACCCCGTTCATCACACCCGACACGGTGTTCAGGTGGCTTTCTCTCACCTCATTCAACACCAAGTACGTTCGGAGAATGCTGCTGGGGATTGCTGGCAGCGATGTGATCACAAAAACGATTAGCGCGTTGCGCAGAATTGACACAATTTTAATGGAGTTGTCTGGTGCATTCTTCACGGGGGTGCCTGCTTGCATGCTCAAGAACTTTTTGTGCATGACATCAGTGATGGTTTTGGTGGTGAGGAAGGAGAAGACAAGCATCAGAACGATGGGCAGGCATGCAAGAGCTAGCAGATCCATAAAAATGTGGACAAGTTTCGACGTTCGAATGAGCTGACTCCGTAGTGGATGGCATATCAGTGCTGCAGCAAGCAGCATGTCGGGAATTCGGCAGATCACTGACCCCACTGCTATGCAAATGACAATGATGCGCACATGACTGAGGCTCCACAGGAGCTTAAACTTGACTGGTTTGAGGAAGAAGAGGAAGCGTTCGAATGACATGGCAATGAGGAGCCAATTGCGAAAGATTTCGAAGATGTTGAATCCGCAGTAGAGGAGGGCGAAGGCGACAGGCCACTGGGTGTGTTTGTTGGTGTGGAAAAGGCAAAAGATGAGCATGAAGGAGAGGTAGCCAACATCAGCAGCGGCAATGCAGGAGAGGATGAGGCGTGTGCTGATGAATGTTTGGGAGTCGCGAAGGAAAAGCAAGAGAGTGAGAAGACTTGTTGCAATTCCAACCAACATTATAGGGCAGCCTATGTAGATTAGGAGGATCTGATTAATAAATCGAGTCAAATTTGTTTCTGTAAAAGTCACGTTCTGATGGTAAACCATGGAATTGATAAAATGGTAGGTTTTAAGCAATGCCTTGACGTGCTACTCACTGTGCTGCCATCCCATTGGTTGCCCCTCCGACCAGTCAGTAAAGGAATCGAGATGAATGTCCTCCTCAATACATTCCAAGGCGCGCATTGGATCAAATATTTTTTTCAGAGGAAGTTTATGTTATGACTTTAAAAATATTGGTGTGCAGTTCGCCTCACTGGAAAGCAACCAACTTTATTATCAATCAAAATTACCAACAAGAAATGGAAAAGGTTTAAGGACTGATTTTGGATATGTCCCAATGATGGGATAGAGCATGCAGCATTGGGCTTAGGACTGCCGACATTTGACAAAGGTCAGAGAATGCGTTAAATGAACATTAACAAATGCTCTGCCCATCTTGTCACCCTGAGCGAGAGACACGTAAACGTGTAAAGCATTGTGTTGTCCCTCTTGATTTTGAAGTACAATCCGTGAACATACTTGAGCAACCTCGTTACGATATAGTCCGTCATGTAGGAATGTTCCTATCACACACCTGTCTCGAACATCAAAATTTAATGGCAGGTAGGAGATTCTCAACCGTGTAAATGTGGCAACTGTAGTTTTGGTGTTAAAGCCACACCTGGTTGAGATCAGAGTCAAATGTTAAGAGATAGGAGTTTGATGTGTCTCAATGCCTATTTATCTCCGCCGATTTTCGCGTATCTATAGCCTCTTCTTCTTTAGTCTATCCAGCAGGTAAAGGGCTGAAGAACGTTTAACTTACTTCTTCGTAAATAGTTAGCAACTACAGCCGATGCCTATTCGAACGTTAATAAAAATTAATCAAAAGTGAGGTCTGGAGTAGTTGGTAAGCATGACAACATTTTTAGTACCTTTGTTGCATGCCAATGCATTATCCAAACCACAGCATATATACAACTTCCTTCCTGCTAAAATTTATGATTAAGTCTGCAATTTTATTTCACCTCAAGACTTCTGTGTAGTCAAAAAGACAAGACGAATGTTGAATACAAACTGTCAATGGACAGGGGAAATGGAAGCCACCTGCATGACATAAAGAGCTGGCAACCTGCAAGGTGAACAACGGCAAAGTTCCTCAGCGTTCTGTTACCCAAGTGGGAAGTTAAACAAACCCTGAGCGCTCGGCATTTGGTGAGGGATAAACCACATTGAGTAGCCTTTTCAAGCAATCATGTGTCCATTTTTGGTGTTAAACAAGCACAAAACGACATTTTCCTTTGATACTTCTTGCTCATTGCAATAAACTATAGCCTTGAAAGTGTCACTTACAAAACATGACTCTGATTTGAATGCCTTTCTTTCGTAAGCACTTTGTACATGTTCTAAGGGCATAATTAGGTCTCCCGTCGAGTCATGTGACCGTGCTTATGCATAGAGTGTAAGCAGTTTTCCTTGAAGTCTGGCCTGCTTTTGACGCCCCCTCCCCCAGTTAAGGCAGGAGCATTGAGTTATGCGTTTGTGTTTATCCTTGCTACACAGTTTTGTGTTTGCTTTAGCTGTTGCCTTTAAAAAGTTTAAGTGGGCATTGTAGGTTAAGGTCGAGCTTGGATGGCCAAAGTGAGGAGGAATATGAATGTGTTGGCTCCTCATTCCTGGCCGAGAGGTTTTTATCCTCCTCTAGCACTTCATGGAGATGACGTTCTACACCTCTTCGACGCGATATTTTAAATGACTGGTTTGTAGTACCCAGTATATGCTAACATCCTTAGACGTTATCTTTACAGATGGCCCCTAAATTTGAGGGCGGAGGACTGAGGGGCTGAGAGTCTACGCTGCTGATAGCTGAATTTTATGAAAATTGTTGAAGTAGGTGCCGCCATGATAGTGGTAAAATTTTACGAATTTTGCAGTTTGGTAGAGTTGTAAAACCTGCATAGCTCTTCATAAATATTTTGGACAAAGGCAGCAAGACTAACTGCTGGTGTGCAACTTGCGTTTGCGATGGGTTATCGCCTGACCGAGGACTCCGTGCTGGTAGCAAGTTTTACCACTACTAAAGACACCCTGCAGATGCTGAGACATTGGAAAACCACCTCCAATTCTGTTAACAGCAGCAGTCTTCCCTTTATGGCAATATGTCATTCAACCATCTCAATTCCCCCCAATCTGCAGGGAAATTCGTTACGCCTAGCAAAGAGCGACGATATTTACTGCATTATCACACCGCCGCAGGGTAAGCTTGTCGAACCAAAGGACCGGGAGTGCCAATGAATTCTGAGCTTATCTGCTCCATGTCAGTGAATTTAGGGAATTACGTAAAGTAAATGGAAAGCAAATAAATTAAACATGTTCTTCACTTTCTGCTGTGTTCTGATAACTTTTATAACAACGGGAAGAGGACTTCATTAGACGTGGATCATCTGCTCAAACTCTCAAAATTAAAGACCAACTATTTTTTACGATGATTGCCTTTACGGATGGTTTTTATCCGTCCAGCACAAGTAGCACTATTTGCAGCTCACGGACTTGTTTGTCAACCTTAGGGTTGATGCCAGGCCGTTCTTAATCGCAATTCCCAAAGCTACTTTATGACTGTGGGTACAAAAGCGCTTACAATAGTATAACTAGTTTATTTCAAAATGGCATGCTATGCTGCACTGGAATATTCGTTGGCTTGGAGATTGTCCTGCAATTGTTACCGAACGAATCTAGCGGATATTAATTGCTTATATTGTAAGATAAATTAGCAATAATGAACGATGATGAAGTATTCGTGAGGATTTTGGTCTGGAGATTTTAGAGAGGCTTTGGGGATCAACTTGTAGATCGAGTGTATATATCATGCAGACCAAAGAAGTCTTCTGATTTAAAAATCCACCAACTCAATGATAACCATCCGCGTTAAATGCAGTTAATATTTAATTTGAATTAAAAATGGATTTTTTTGTACCATAAGAATAGTAGTTTGTCATTAAAAAATCACAGGTAAATTTTTTCGATCATGACACACAGACGCTCACATGATTGGAATTAGTGTTTGGAATGTTTTTAGCCTTGGAGTTCTGTCGACGTCACCACATCGGATAAGTTCCTCATCCAACGCCTGGATTTGTAGACCGATCTGTAAAATTTAAACTGTCCCCTTAAAGATGCCGAAAAGTATATCAGTGATCCAGGTGCAAAGCTTCAAGCAGCGCTAAAGCTGCAAGTGGGCGTAATTATATGATTGGATTATTTTATTGCGGGTTTATGGCGGAGGGAGGAGGTCATATTGAATTAGGGTGAAGTTGCTGTAAAATAAATAGAGTTAGCTGAGTTTAAAAAGACAAAGGAGGTGTCGTTCATGGTGTTGTACAAGTCCTTGCGAGACCCGTCTAAACGGTCTCCCTAGCCCAGCGCCAATCCATCCCATCTGTGATGTATTTATGCCCCGTTGAGTACTGCAGATGAAGCAATGAATTCAAGTTTTTTTTGCGCAGCATTTGAGACTAGAATATTTCCTATTCTTTTAGTCTTTCTTAGGCCTCGTCAAAGGTCTCCTATCATGAGCCCAACTGTGCACCATGTTAGGGTAATTTCTTGGTAAATTTACATCAGTGGTTACAGACGGAGAACCAGAGACACTGATACAAATAATAAGCACTGACTATACAAAGGGCTCACTCTAAATCATATGAAAGATCAGTCGCATCGGCTATTGGAGACGTGAGAGAAAAGCGAAGTAGGACTAACTTAGGGAGGAAGTTATGGCGTTGTCTTCCTCTTCTACCATTTTAACTGAATTGAAACCTCATCACTGGTTGAGTTTGTGAGTCGCAAGGTGAGACAAGACTAATGGAGATGAAGGGTACCAAAGCGTTTGTAACAAAACGAGTCATTGCGTTTCTTAATGAACTACTATCATTGCTCCATTGTTAAGGGCCAGCCCAAGAAAATAGTAATTATATCTTATAACTGCAGCTTGTATAAGATGCACAATGTGCATACTTCTAGAAAACAGTAATCTGCTAAGAACGCAACATACACAAAACTTGCATGGTGCTGCGGAGGCGAATCAGCATGTATGTTGGAAAATGGGGTTCAGTTCGTGACAGAGTGAGGATTTGGAGGTAAACGATGAAAATTGTCCAAATAAGTGCTACACCAATAAGTTGGTTCAAGAGCCAGCGGGCAGGGGTGGAGTAAACAATGTTTTAAAGCTCACCATTCTTCAACTATGCGATTTATGACAAGAGGCGGAGGCACGACTCAAATCTCTTGCTTAAGGAGCGGTTACCTCTCTTGGAGGCGGGTAATGAGTAATGAAAACTATTCCTTATAGCCATATGTCACGCAGCCAGTGCTTTCCATCTCAAACGATCAAGGCGAAGGTGAAAGGAAGAAAATTTAGAAATATCCACCCTCTCTGATTTAGGAAAGTGGAGGAAAAAAGGTGATGCCTTACAAATGATCATATATTGCTATCTAGAAGAAGTAGTAAATGAAGCAGATGATTCCATTCTTGTGGTTGTCCTACACTTCCTCAGCCTTTGACATCTTTGTGTTTCCATTATTTCTCCACTCCCAAATCACATGACTGAGCTTAAAGGTGTTTGCAGCCTTGTTGGCAATCGCCTAAATCAGTAATGGAACGTCGACTATACGCTTTTTTACACCAACTACAAAAGTGTTAAGAGCCTTGGAACCCGCCGGTGTTGGCGCTTTCTACATCATTTCTAGGTGCAAAATGGAGGACCATAGAAGAAGCTAACGAAGTCTAAGGACGTAATTAGAATTTGCTAGCTAAACGGACACGCTCAAACCACACCCAGCGCCGCTTAGAGGGTGGGTTCAGGGCGGGAGGAGTAGATCCATCCTCGCATGGGTTTTACGGTCCACGCAATGTTTGACATTCATTAGCATTTAAGATTTAAGCAATCAAGAAGCCATCCCAATTTAACAGTAATAAGCTTAAATTTTACGCGAAATGTTCTGGCCTTACAAAATACTCAAATTAGACAAAAACTAATTGTCTTCTAGCGTCGTCGTTGTAAGGACCAAAAACAATAATAAAATTCTTTGCTTAGTAGTAGTTGTAGTGCAGAAGTTTTGCCCTTCGTTTGGAGACTAATGATGAGGATGTTAATGAGATGACTGGAAAGTCAGGGAGCCTTCAAAGTTACACCGTTTTGTTGAAACTG